AGCTTAATTTATTTTAAAATTTTTTTTAATTGAAGTTATAAAAACCCTAAAAAATTAAAATTTCTCATTTCAACCCATTACCAACCAACGTCAGTCATCATCGTCATTGTCGAACGTTTGAGTTTTGATCGGAATTGCACGACGGTTCGAATGGTATAACACCCCAATTTCAGACTAGTTTCGGGTTTACCCAAGAGGTAAGTGGACCCCATAGAATTTATAATTTAAGTTGTTGAACTCAATTAGGTTGGATATGAGCCCAATTAACCATAAAATGAGGTTTTTGAAATGTAGAAAGATGAAGAGGGATCAACAATGTAATTATCCATTTTTAAAAGATTGAGACTTTTATATCCTCTTTTATCTTCTTCTCTTCAACTTTTCATTCTCTCTTCTCCCTTCCTTCCCTCTCCAAGTTCCATAGCAAGAAAAGGAGGGGTTTTTAACATCCAAGCCTTGAGGAGAGTGATTGCTAGCTAAAGGAGCTCTATTTCATGATTTAATCATCAAGATAGTGTATTTCTAATCCTTCGGAGTATTAAGTTTTCATAAATCACAATAAATTACTAAGATTTGTATAGTTGAGAATTGGTTTCACATTTGATTCATGCCATAAATCATGAATTTGTTATTTAGTATGTGTTTTATGACACCTTAAAACCCTAAATAACGACCCATAACATCATTACATGATTTAGAATCAAATTATGACCTTTAGGATGAATTTTTAGTGTTTTCTAAGCCTAAAATAACTATTTCAAGGTTCGAGTATCTACAGTGGGATGAACAATATCGATATTGGATGAATTAGGGCAAATATTAGGGATTTGGGCTGAGAGTATCGATACTGCCAAGGAGAGTGTCGATACTGTAGACAATATCGATAATGTGGCCACATTTTCATAACATAATGCATTTTTGGTACTGATACTCATAGATGTATCGATATTTGACCGTAGGGTATCGATACTGCTCACTTTGGATGATTAGATTTGACATGTTTAAGGCTCGTAAGAGATAAGTATAATTCGTAACACTAAGACTTAGTCCGTGAGGGACATAAATGACCAAGCATACCTAGAAACACTCATAGGAGTGGGTTACACCAGGTGTAACCATATTAAGCATAAGATGCCGAAGTATCTTCAATCGATGAAATATACAGATAGTAGGGATCAAAGACCGTGTTAGGAGATATCCAATAAGCAATATGATGATTATGTCAGATTCAGGGGTAGCAAAAAGCATGAGCTTCGAGAATGTCAGCAAACCCAGGAAGAGTAAGCCATCTTTGTAACACCCCCAACTCATATCCGACCCGAATACGAATCTGAGGTGTCACATTGACTTTACAAAACATTTACATTTAAAATATAGTGGAAAATTTTAACTTTTATTTATATAGAAATGATGGAACCCTTGATCAAAAAAATAAAAATAAGAAGATTCAAACTTAAAATTTAAATAAAACTTAATATTTTACATAAATGCAATAAAGTTTGTTTACAAAACTAATCAGAGCATATATGATTCAAACATTTAATTACATGTCAACAATATTTGATACAACAAAAAAAAACTTCAAAACCTTTTAATTGCTTTTTGGTTCTTCCAAAATGGTGAGAGAAAAAAATCCCTTACAATGTTTTTTCTTTCGATTTTTATAATTCCTGTGTTTTTTACCAAATGCCAGAAAGAAAAAATTACATAATTTTTTTGATCATTTCCGTTTTCTCTTTTTATGGATGACGAGAACGGGTTGTTGAAGAATTTGGCGGCCACTCGAATCAACTGGTGCTGTAATGGAGAGCTCCTGGTGGGTGAGGATTGCTGGCGACTTGCTGGCAGCTTCTGAAAATTTCTGGAATATTTAGGTGTTGGATCATTGCCCTTCGAGTACAAGAATGGAGTGGATCCAGAGCCAGGAAGGTGTAGAAGAACAGATGGGAACAAAAGGAGGTGTAACAAAGAAGCAGTCTCGGATCACAAATACTGCGAGAAACACACATATGGTATGTGTTGATTTTTATAGTTGTATCAAGAATCGTGTTCTTTGAAGCAGAGTGCCGTTTATGTTCATATGGAGGAAATGGCTGATAATTTGGTTCACGTAATTCAGTCTCAGCCACTTCTTTGCATAATGCAGGAAAAATTATATGGTAGTTGTGGGGAGGAATATTTATTTGTATGGTGAGGAATGGAATGTTGATATCTAGTATGTTTGTGTTTCCCGTTTAAATGGTTGGACTTTGGTGTTTAGGGATTAATTGATGTTAGTACAAATATTTGAAAATAAATTTAACAAAATAAAATAGAGATTATTGTAGCTTTCAATGTGGTAATTTTAGAAGAAGAAGACACCCACATGCCAACTCACCCACGTGGGTTTTTTTTTATTTTTTTTATATTTTTTAATTGCCAACTCATATTTTTGTTAATGGATTAACGGAAGTTAACGACTGAACGACTTGAATCGGATGAGCCGATAACGTAAGGGATCAAGCGCACTTAATTAAAAAATCGGTGACCAAAATCGGTTAGACCGAAAACAAAGAGGACTACTGGTATAGTTTAGCATTTAAAAAAAAGGCTTAATACCAAAATAAGTGTCCAAACTATACCTTTTTTTCCAAATAGGTGTCTAAACTATTTTTTGATTCATCTCGATGCCTAACGTTACAGACGTTACCTATTTAGGTGTCCGGATCATCAACGGTGTTAATTCCTTCGTTAAATGACACGTGTCACAACCTAATAATTTTAAAAAATTATTTAAAATTTAAAAATTATTTAAAATTTAAAAATTATATTTTTTCAACAAAAGGAAAACACAAATTTTGAAATAAATCCAAAACTTTGAAAACCTTCATTTCAACCCTTAAATCCACGCAGACCGTCACCTTTTGCCGTCGACGAAACTCCACCCGACCTCCCCTCCCCCTATGACTAAAACCCCATGAAATTGTGATCAATCGACGACAAATCAATGTTTTATACCATTCGAACCCTAGGATGAAAATCGCGAACCTACATGATTCCGACGACCAATCGACTAAAACTAAGACGATGTATAAGTATAGTATGAGGATGGTAGAGACTATGTCGGTAGTGATGATCGTGGCTGGAAAGGGCGACGGCGGCGGATTAAGGCTAGAATTTGAGATTTTGGGGTTATTTTATAATATAAGATTTTTTTTTTGCAAATATCATAATATTTTTTATATTTAAAAAAAATTTCAAATCAACATATTGTGACACGTGTCACTTAACGGGGAAAATTAACAATGTTGATGGCCCGAGCACCTAAATGAGTAATGTTTGTAACGTTAAGCACCTGGGTCAAAAAATAATCTAAGCACCTATTTGGGGAAAATGGTATAATTTAAGCACTTAATTTGGTATTAAGCCAAAATAATATTTAATTAATATGTCAATTGCTATTTGTTAATTACTTTTAGGTAGTTTAGAGGAGGGTTTTCCCCCTAAACAAAAGTGTAGCGATTAAAGCAAGGATGGACTTGTAATGATAATTTTTTTTTCTCTTAAAACATTTGAGAAACTTCGAGAGAAAATTGCAAGTTTATGATCATTTTTTATTCTTTTAAATATTTTTTTGAGTAAATTACATGTTTAGTAAATAAATTATTAATTTTTTATTAATTTTAATACCTAAACTTTTAATTATTTTAAACTATATCTAATTTTTAGTTTTCGTGTCATTTTCTCTCTCTTCATTTTTGCTTTAAATTGTAACATGACTGGTTAAGTCTACGAAATTAAACCACGCACAGAAACAAACAAAAGAGAATTCCATTCACATAAACGGCAAGTTAAGCTAGAAGGGACTAAAGCACAGTGAAAGCCAGAGAATACTTATAAGAGCTACAACCCATGCTATACGATCAGACTAACACGGAAACAGTCAAACTAAATGATATATGTTAAAACACCATTTCTCCGGACGGGGAAAGAGAAAAGAACATCTAGTGGCTGGACAAAATCAAATGCATATATATTCTAATTCAAAATCTACATTGAAAAAACACAGTAACAACTTAATAAGAAACCAAGTCAGTCGAAAACTTACTCAGAAAGAGTTTCTCATAAATTGATTCAGGGGATCCGAGACAGATGATGCTGAGTTGTCAGATTACACATTGATGGCGCTGAGATACCATGAGTTGGCAGATCAGCGCAAAGGCGGGAATTGATTGTAATATGTTCCTCATTGGAGTCGTTTTGAGTGTGCTTCAGTCTTTTGACCATAACTTTGGCTACATGTGTCAGAATCGCGCATAAGACCCCAATCCGGAAAGCTCCTTTCGACGCGCACGCTGTCCACATCGAGCTACGCTCCATGTGACATTTTTTTCGACCTCAAATTCTACCGTTTTTCCCTCCGAATCACTAGATTTAGATATTTTATTACTATTTATGATAATATTTCGATTGTCAATTAGGAAGTCATTTTAAATTCGATTTCGGTCGGATTTTTTGCAGATTTCTTATTTTATTTTGAATTTCAATTTAGAGTGATTTTCGAGATTTTTCTATTTTTGGTAAAATTCCGATAAACAAGATTTTTGACTATAACAGTCCGGCTTGTGGACTGATTTTGGATAGTTTTGATTTTATAATATTTTATTAAACCCTAGAGACTTTTTTCTCTGGTTTTTTGACGAATTTTCTCTTGTGAATCATCTGTTTGAACAAGCCTACATGATAATCGTTATTTTGTCTGGCGTCGTAAATCCCTCTATCTCACACTCAATGATTTGATTGCTTCCTGCCTTTCAGACCAACAAGGATCATAAACTGAAAACTTCAACCATTCAATGACTGCAGCAATCAAGGATCATAAACTGGAAGTTGCTCCCCTTGCGAATCTGAGAAAAGCAGAATGTTTTATAAGATTACAAGTCAATGCATGACGCTTGAAGAAAGAAGGTATCATAACTTATGAAGCAAAATATTAAAGGACAGGGAAAAGAAACCTCCAAACTCTACATAAGAAGAGGCAGAAGCTGATGGAGAACTCAATTGAATCAAGCCATTATCATTTGAAAGCAATACCAACTCGCTCATTCTGCAGCCATTTTAATTGACAAGTGGGATGTTACCGATATACGGTTTATTGCAAGCATTTATTCTGAGAAACCTCAGATATAATCGCATAGAGAATAAGCTAGACTGGAAGTAAAATCTTTGATGCAGTCTGAAGCTAGTTATTCAAATGATTTTTTATTTTGCTCGAGATAATGAAGGAAAGGTGTCAACATACCTCATAGTTCGAAGAAAAAGACGCAAAGAGTTACTCGAGATATAAATATCTTCTCTCATGTTCACAGGACAGTTTGCAGGTGTGCATTGCGAACCTGCAACACTAGCAGTAACATCTTCAACTTCATATCTACGGGTCTTTGGTGTAGTCTTGGACTCTTGGTCACTTGCCCTTCTACAAAGTTACATGATAGACATTAGAAACTTCACACTGATAGTGAAGATGTACACATGATGCCATATATTTTTACCATCAACATCAATTGGTCCATCAATCTTTTCACTTTCTGAAGCTTTGCGACCTTGTAAAGCTATAAGTAAACATGAAAGCATAGATGTTACATAAATATTATTGCATGAGTAATTCAATATAATAACTAAAAACTCTATTATTTTCTCATGCACACATCTTTTAATCATCGAATCTTGCTCAAATATAGATCTAACATTTTTATTCATGCTTCACCTATTCCTTAACTGCATCAATATGAGCTGGAAGTAATAAAGCTACCAAATAGGATAACTAACTACAAGCTAAATCAATTACAGTAAATGTCACTGTAACACACATGCACATTACCGTGTCATTCATCATTGAACGGCTATGGAATAACAGCATCAAAAGAAGGCCAAGCTTGCCTTTCCTTTGAAGGTACAAATTGTCCCCCCAACCCTGAATTGCTTCTCCCAGACTACAACCAGGGAAAAGGTGGAATAACAGGGAAAAATCACCCAACACAAATGCAAGAAAAGCGTCAATAGAAATGAAAGCTGCCATTGATAAATTACAACCACAAAAAAAAAGGTTACAACCACACAGAACTCAATCAGATGTCAAATAATTACTGGGAAACAGTATTTGAATTCAAGGAAGCGAAGATCAGCATTGGGACTCGTCTAATGAACCATGAAAATAAGTATTGTGCCGTAAATAAGAAACATAATACCAGGAAACCAACTCAAGATCGAATATGATACAAAAGTGTCATGCGAAGGTATAACTCATGAAGAAAAGGAAATTAAAAAATGGTAATATCAACCCACATTGAGTTTTTGTAAATTCAGAATCTAGTGTTGAAAATTATAAAGGCACATGGGCTGCTAATGAATTAGCAGCCGGCTGCCTTGAATAAAAATGGAAAAGTGCATTTTTTAGTCCTTTGCAATTTATGGTATTTACAAGATTAGCCCTTAAGTTTCAACTATAAATACTCTAGTTCATTTATCCTCAAAATCATCCCAAAATCTTCTAGTTCTCTCTCAAGTGTGTTGTGTAAACACCTGTAAATTTTCTCTTAGTAAAAGATCTGCAGCAGCCCGGAGACGTAAGCACAATTGGCTGAACTTCGTTATCAATTTCGGGTACTATTTTCCCGCTTTTATTTCGCATTCTCACTAATCTAGTTATAGGGAAATTACTCGTACTCGGTTTATTTCCTAACAATTGGTATCAGAGCTTTTGGTTGTAAATTTTACCAATTTTTTCTGCGAGGTTACTATTCACGTGAATAGTGAATAGTGAAATTTTGTCGGCGATACGAATTTGTCGACGGAGGTGTTCAAATACACGGCGGTTCGCAGAAATTGCAGAAACGATCCAAACGAAGCCAGATTCGAGTGGGAGCGATGGCTGCAGACGAAGGGAAGGTGAAAATTGAAAAGTTCGATGGTGCGGACTTTGGCTTTTGGAAGATGCAGATTGAAGATTTTCTGTACCAGAAAAATCTATATCAACCTCTTTCAGGAAAGCAACCAGAGGGCATGAAGAATGAAGACTGGGCTCTTCTCGACAGACAAGCCCTCGGAGTTATCCGACTGACGTTATCCCGCAATGTTGCTTTCAACATAGCAAAGGAAAAGACCACGGCGGGTCTTATGACGGCTCTCTCCAGTATGTGTGAGAATCCATCGGCCTCAAACAAAGTTCATTTGATGAGGAGATTATTCAATTTGCGGATGATGGAAGGGGCATCGGTGGCACAACAACTAAATGAACTCAACACAATCACAACCCAGTCGAGTTCAGTGGAAATTGAATTTGATGATGAAGTTCGAGCTTTAATTCTCTTATCATCTTTACCAGACAGTTGGAATGCTACTGTTACAGCAGTCAGCAGTTCGTCGGGAAACAGCAAATTAAAATTCGACGATGTTCGGGATCTGGTACTGAGCGAAGAAATTCAACGGAGAGAATCGGGTGAAGCATCAACCTCCTCAGCCTTGCACACGGAGTCTAGAGGGAGAACTTCAGAAAGAAATTCAAATCGTGGCAGATCGAAATCCAGAAGGGGAAAATCAAGAACAAGAAATAAAGATTTTACCTGTTATAATTGCGGCAAGAAGGGTCACTTCAAAAGAGATTGCCGAGCACCGAAGAAAAATAGCGGTGCACAGGAATCTGCCAACATGACAGAGGAGACAGGCGATGCCATGATTTTAAGCGTCAACAATCCGATTGAATCATGGATTTTGGATTCAGGGGCATCTTTCCACTCCACGCCATATCAAGAAATCATAGAGAACAATGTCAGTGGTGATTTTGGGAAGGTTCATCATGCTGATGATGAAACCTTGAAGATCGTCAGAAAAGGAGATATCCGACTAAAGCTGCCAAACCAGACCACCTGGAAGCTGACAGGAGTGAGACATATTCCTGGCCTCAAAAGAAATCTGATTTCTGTTGGACAGTTTGATGGAGAAGGATATAGTACAACCTTTTCAGGCTGTGAATGGAAGATTACCAAAGGAGCACTCGTCATTGCTCGTGGTAAGAAGACTGGTACTCTCTATGTAACCTCAAATTTAGAGAATATCATTGCAGTAGCAGATGCTGATGGAAAATCAAACCTATGGCACCAAAGGCTTGGCCATATGAGCGAGAAAGGAATGAAGATACTTCTGTCAAAAGGGAAGCTGACGGATCTAAAGAATGTGGACGTCGGACTATGCAAGGATTGCATCTTTGGAAAACAAAAGAAAGTCAACTTTACAAAGATTGGCAAGACTCCCAAGGCAGAAAGGTTAGAATTGATTCATACTGATGTATAGGGACCATCCCCAGTTCCATCTCTTGCAGGCTCACTATATTATGTCACCTTCATCGATGATTCAACAAGGAAGGTGTGGGTTTATTTTCTGCAGAAGAAATCAGAAGTCTTTGATGCCTTCAGAAAATGGAAGGCCATGGTGGAAAATGAGATTGGTTTGAAAGTCAAGCGGTTGAGGTCTGACAATAGAGGAGAATACAGAGACAGTAGATTCAGAGATTTCTACGCAAACAATGGGATCAAGATGGAGACAACAGTTCCCATAACACCGCAGCAGAATGGCGTAGCAGAGCGCATGAACAGAACTCTGAATGAACGTGCCAGAAGCATGAGGATACATGCCAGATTGCCCAAATTTCTATGGGCTGAAGCTATCAACACTGCAGCTTACCTGATCAACTGTGGGCCCTCAGTTCCTTTGGATGGCGGAATACCAGAGGAAGCTTGGAACAAGAAAGAAATAAACCTTTCACACTTAAGAGTGTTTGGTTGTATTTCTTATGTACACATAAACTCTGCTGAAAGAAGTAAACTTGACGCGAAGTCCAACAAATGCGTCTTTGTTGGTTACGGTGGTGATGAGTTCGGTTACCGGTTTTGGGACTACGAAAATCGAAAGATCATCAGAAGCAGAGACATCATTTTCAATGAAAATGTGATGTACAAAGACAGGTCAACCGCAGAATCAAGTAATACCGAAGCTGAAACAAAGGAATTTGCTGAGTTCGAGGAGATTTCTGGAAATGATGTTCAGATCAGTCCTGAAGCAGTTCAAGAGGAAGAACCAGGCACACCAGAATTGAGACGCTTCTCCAGAATTCCTAAACCAACCCAACGGTATTCGCCTTCTTTGCACTACTTGTTGCTGACTGACAATGGTGAACCAGAGTGCTATGATGAAGCGATACAGGTGGATGATTCAATAAAGTGGGAGTCTTCCATGAAAGATGAGATGGACTCGCTTATGTCAAATCAGACGTGGGAATTAGCTGAATTACCACCAGGCAAGAAAGCGCTCCATAACAAGTGGATTTACAGGATCAAAGAAGAGCACGATGGGAGAAAATGCTACAAAGCAAGATTGGTTGTCAAAGGCTTTCAGCAAAAAGAAGGTATTGACTACAATGAAATTTTCTCTCCAGTCGTAAAACTGTCTACAATCAGACTGGTGTTGAAAATTGTAGCTGCAGAGAATTTACATCTTGAGCAGTTAGATGTAAAGACAGCTTTCCTTCATGGTGATTTGGAGGAAGAAATCTATATGAGGCAGCCAGAAGGCTTCATAGAGGCAGGCAAGAAAAACCTGGTATGCAGGTTGAAGAAGAGCTTGTATGGTTTAAAACAAGCTCCTAGACAGTGGTACAAGAAGTTCGATAGTTTCATGGGTAGCAGTGATTTTACCAGATGCCAAGCAGATCATTGTTGCTACATCAAGAGGTTCGACAACAGCTTCATTATTTTATTATTGTACGTTGATGACATGCTCGTTGCAGGCTCAGATATGCAAGAGATTATACACTTGAAGTAAAAATTGTCGAAGTAGTTTGCTATGAAGGATCTGGGCGCTGCAAAGCAGATTCTTGGGATGAGGATCAAGAGAGACACAAAGTCAAGGAATTTGATGTTATCACAGGCTGAGTACATCAACAAAGTACTCTCCAGGTTCAACATGCAAGATGCTAAACCAGTAAGTACACCTTTAGGTGTTCATTTCAGACTCTCCAAAGAACAGTCACCAAAGACGGAGGAAGAACATGCACACATGGTGAAGGTGCCGTATGCCTCAGCAATTGGAAGTCTGATGTATGTCATGGTTTGTACCAGACCAGATATTGCTCAAGCAGTGGGAGCTGTTAGCAGGTACATGAATAATCCAGGCAAAATACACTGGGAAGCAGTCAAATGGATCCTCAGATATCTGCGAGGTACCACAAACAAAGCACTTTGTTTCAAAGGTGGAGATACGATACTGACAGGCTATGTAGATGCTGACTTAGCCGGAAATATTGACATCAGAAGGAGCACTACAGGGTATGTCTATACTTTAGGAGGAACCGCAGTGAGTTGGGTTTCTCAACTACAGAAGATAGTTGCTCTCTCCACAACCGAAGCAGAATATGTCGCTGTTACGGAAGCCAGCAAGGAGATGGTCTGGCTTCAAAGTTTCTTGGAAGAGTTAGGCAAGAAACAAGAAAACAATGTCTTGTATTGTGACAGTCAAAGTGCTATCCATCTAGCGAAGAATCCGTCTTTTCATTCCAGGACAAAGCACATACAATTGCGATATCATTTTATCCGGTCTATTCTGGAAGATGGGATTTTGAAACTTGAAAAGATCAGTG